AAACATTTTTGAGCTTAGACTGTGCAACCAGCGACTTTCAGAAGACAAATTTATGTTTGTTGTGCCATACAAAGTGTTAACATCTATAATGAAATGCATGCTGTGAAGCCAGCTCAGTTCGTTCAGACAGACAGACAGATAATTGAATCAATTTCCTTGACTCATTGATTCAACTTCATTTGTGCTTTTGCAAATGAGTCAAAGCAATGTTTTTTCATAAACCCTTTGAGTAAACAGGGATTTGATTGGCCCAGAGGTACTTTATTAATCAAAATGCAATACAAAACAGCTTATTGTCTAGAGAACAGATAAAAGCTTGTAAACAAACTTTAACCCTTTAAAAACTGCAAAAGTGTTTAGCATAAAGCTGCTGTATCATCTGTTTTTCCACAGTTCTATCTAATTCCCTCTTCAAGGGCTTCAGACTTTGGTGTGAAAAGAGACATTTAATCATGTCCCCTCTCATTTGGCCTGAAGGCATCTTCTGCTAAAATAAAGAGCGGTTCGTTCTTTTCAGTCTTCAATGACAGCAGAGAGCTGTTGAGAGGGCTTCTCTCAGTAGTGTCCTCTCCTTGGATTTACATTAAATATGTTTTTTCATAAACCCTTTGAGTAAACAGGGATTTGATTGGCCCAGAGATACTTTATTAATCAAAATGCAATACAAAACAGCTTATTGTCTAGAGAACAGATAAAAGCTTGTAAACAAACTTTAACCCTTTAAAAACTGCAAAAGTGTTTAGCATAAAGCTGCTGTATCATCTGTTTTTCCACAGTTCTATCTAATTCCCTCTTCAAGGGCTTCAGACTTTGGTGTGAAAAGAGACATTTAATCATGTCCCCTCTCATTTGGCCTGAAGGCATCTTCTGCTAAAATAAAGAGCGGTTCGTTCTTTTCAGTCTTCAATGACAGCAGAGAGCTGTTGAGAGGGCTTCTCTCAGTAGTGTCCTCTCCTTGGATTTACATTAAAAAGATGGATGGGTTTGGCTGCGTTTTGTGTTTCTTATAATAGGCATGTGTGTGTAATAAGTGTGTTGCCATGGACACGGGGTGATCATTAAATTAGCAGCCCGGTTCGCTCTGTTGACTCAGGTCTTCTTCAGAGTGAAGGAGCTGTTGAGAAGAACTTGTACTGTCAGAGGAAATAAGTTTCCCATGTACTCTTTCTGAGAGTACATTCTTCAGATGGCTGTGAACTACAGAAGAGAGAGTTTACAAATACAGTTTAGTTTAGTTTAGTTTAGTTTAGTTTAAGTTTTGTTTTACAACCGCTGTCTTAAGGGTGGAATACACTACACAGCTTTTAAAACTCTAGGCGTCATACCCTTGCCGACTTTGTAAATAGTAACAGAGGAAAAACTGGGCATCATACACTAAATGACTGAGGATCACACACCTGACTTTCAAGTCGTTTCGTATACAACAAACTCACGCAGAAACTTGCGCCTTGTTGCTTGGAAATGTTTGACAAATGAAAACAATGTGTTCTAAAATCATCTCAAAATACCATAGTCTGAAGCTAAAAAATCAAAGCCTGTGACCACAAAGCCTGTGACTGTCATACACACTACGCCATTTTCTATTAAATCTGTCAACTCAAATCTGCAGACTGGTTCTGACTTTCAGTTTTACAGTATTTTGTGGATTAGTGTATATAATGTGCAATATGTCTGCAATGTTTATTAAGTTCAAAGTTTATTTTGTGCCACATTATCATGGTAATATCCAGCCCTATTCAGAACAAACACTCAGAAAGACTCTCCCCGACCCGAGATGGATATTGTGTTGATGGTTCTCACACTTCTGTGGCCTTGTACACATGTAATAGGTGAAAGTTGCATTAAAGCGATTCATGTAATTACAGTATTCTTACTTAGAACTAACAGATGCTTCAGTAGAAAAAGCAAACATTCTTGGCTATGGTATGGTAACGGACAAAAGGTTTGTTTAAAAGGTAGTTTAAATAGCTAGAAATAAACTCAAATAGTTTGGCAACAAGGACTTCTGATCTCGTGAAAGAGAATAACCACTTGTCAACACTAACAACAAGTGAGCCAAGCCCACAAAAGACAGCAGTAGGATGTGGTCAAAACAAACCCATATGAATGAAGTCCTTTGACTGTGGTATGGTCTCTGATCACTTTTTACAGTAGAAGGCCATTCATATGTAAATGATGTCATTCATTTGCATTTATTCTTTTCAATTTATGCAGGGATTATGCTGAGATGAATACTAAAATAGACGGGTTTTTGGATAAGCCTGTGGCAACACTTCTCTTGCTGTAAGTGAATCTGTATAACAACTTAAGGATAATAATTCAAGCTATGTGAATAAAGTCTCTAAATATAAAATATTTGCATATATATTTAGAAATATATGGAAAATTGTTAATAAAAGGGTTGTCTCCGGTGTATTAGAGTATTTGACACATATTCCCTAAAGTGTGTTTATCGTTTTTGCCCGTCAAGGGTGGCCTTCATCTAATAAAAGATGCCATTAGACAAGTTGATCCAGAAAAGGGGCCTCAGCAGCCTGACTGTCCTAGATTGAGATCCATCTTTTAGGCAGATGCCTGTGCTTTTAGTCCTTCATCCAGCCAATCAGAGAGTGAATAGAGGTCTGTGTCGGATTACCTATGCTGACCAGCATCTTTCCTCCATCTCTGTTGATTCTGTCATGATACAAATGACTCAGCAATAACCAAATCACAGTTTTCTTCTGTTCTGTGAGTTACCCAAAGCGTTCCTCTGAGATATTGTAAAGTCTAATTATGCCAAAGGACCAGGGCTACAAACCAGCATTTAAAGCAGATGAACTTTTATGATTTATATAAAAATAAATCAATATTTTATTTATAATTATTTATTTATTTTATTTTATTTTTGAACCATGTTTTTTTTTTTTTGAGCAAACGCATACATTTTCAAATCTCTTATTTCCTCACACACTTTCCTAATCAACAAAAATGGCTTAAAGCCAAAGAAATAGAAATAACAAATCTAAAACCTATTATGAAAATGTATGTAAAAATGAAGAGATGTAATAGAATTTTTCATTAGTTTGTCTTGATTCAGCTTATTTGACCAGAATGTTAATAGCCAGAACTCTGGGACAACATCTGTTGGTTAATTCATTCAGTCATAAATCATACATTATTGTCGGAGAAAATGTGTTGAACATGTAATGATTAGAATCGATGTTTGTGCTATGCAAATGTGTAATTCAGACAGACTATACATGACTGCACATCTCTACCATATGACGGCACAGACATGAATCTAGACTTTGTGTTTGTTACATCTCATACTCTCATTTTAAAAGGCCCAGATGCCAATGTCTACTACGTTTTTTCACTGATTCTTACGATCGAGAATAGCTCAAGTTCAAGCTGATTGCATCGCAAAAGAAAATGTGATTGACAGTTTCCATTTAAGACTGTCACTGTCCCTCTCTCTACCGCAATTGACAGTAGTTCAATTCAGGTTTTTCCAAAGGGCGCTTGAGCACATACTGTCACCATAGCAGCCATCAGACATGCTGTGCACATTGTCTGGAATACTGAAATGTGGTAAATCTACTTGTCTTTGGGTTTTGAGGGAGTCTTGCCTTTTCTTCAGCCAGAAAATGTGTTAATAGGCCATTGCATTTTTTTATTCATTTCTGTCATTATTTTTGACTGTAGTCAAGGGACATTGGTTCCATTTTTAAATAGTTTCCTATCCAAACTATTTTTTATTTTATTATTTTTTATTGTTATTTTGAATTTTTTATAGTTTTAGTGTTTTGTGTGTGTGTGTGTTGTTTTGGATTCGGTTTTTGTTTTGTTTTATTTTGTCCTGGGTCATGACCCACCACACTTGATCTTATAGAGTTAATATTTTTATTAGCTTTAATTTTTTAAACCATAATTTGCTTTGAATCCGTGTCCAAGCAACTGGAATCTACAGTTGATTTATCGCTGCCTAAAGTGTATCTAGGAAACCAGTCCTAGATACTGTTGGTACATGTGATATCCAGAAGAACCAGTCTTTATCTTGAATGTCTGAATCCTTCACCTTGAGATAAATCTTTGGCTCTACAGTCTCATGCTTCCCCCCAACCTCTCTCGCTCTCTCTCTCTCTCTCTCTCTAGCTGTATGATGCCGTCAAGGTTTCTGAGCTCATGAATTATGCAAAGCAGAACCCATTTCCTTGACACAGCCTGCTACGCAGCAGAATCACTCAGATAGCACTTTCTCTACCTACCGGCAGGAACAACTGATGCTAGCTCACTTCTGTGACACATTATACTCCTCCTTCCTCACTGAAAACTTTATACGGCCTGATTCTGCGCATATTATTAAATTACTTGGGTTTATATTGTAAAAACATTGCAGCCAATCATCCATCATGATGTGTTTTACAGCGATTGTGATTCCTAAGCAAATTTATGTCACATGCCAAGGTCGGGAAATGTTATAGCTTATAAAAAGAGTCACAATCAGTTTATGTAATGCAAAAGTAAAACAATATTGTGACGTTACATTGTCCAACGCTATTTTTTATTTTATTTTATTTCATTTTAATTTTAAGGGAATTGTGTTTTTAAACCAATTAATGTTTTAATCCATCTGAAAAAAGCTGTGCTTCATAAATGTCCATTCAGTGCATGCATAAAGCTGAACAATAAAACAAAAGGCTTTCTGGAACAAGAAAGGCATGTGTTTCTTTTTCTTTTTTGGGTTCTTAACCCACCTCTGAGGAACTAGACAGCAGGCTGTGTAATTTTGTGCTTCAGCCATGTGTATTGACATCCATATGTCAGTTTTGAGGGTGCCGCCATCACAGCGTTCCCGTCTCTTTCAGCTGAGTGCTCTCACATGTCTCTGTGTATGTCAGGACAATCTGAGCTCAAGTGAACTGTCCGTCTACAGCACGGATTCCCTAATAAATCTTGCCCTTTGTTTGTGCTTTTAGTAGAATAAAAGATCGTTGTTTTTTCTATTTGTTCTCTTTCAGTCTTGCTGGCTAATCTTGGATGCCCCTGTTTGTTTGAATGGTCACACTGAGTGCGAATCACAAGGCCCAGTTGCTTTGACCTGGAGGGGAAGGATTTTCATGTAACGCACCCTGCCATGGACAGGAAGAGGAGTTGCACGCTCTGTGGAGGAGCTGTGATGCTGCTGCTGCTGCTGGATCACATGATCAATGCATTAGAAGTGCCTCTAGATCGTGAGTATTGTGCAGTGAAACAAAATTAAATCTGATGTGATGTAATAAAATGTAATAATTCCCACTAATGTAGAATAATTTGACAGAAGTGCACAAAAAAAACGGTTTCCTACCTAACCTATTTTAAAATGAGTTAGTGAATCATGTGTAATTCTGTCTTGGATATTCTTAGACATTTTTAGGCAAGATTCTCAGATCAGATTCATTCAAGCACACTTAAAAAGTACTCAGCTAGTTTCTCAGCTGCTGCTCTCTAGAGTAGTGTTTCACATTTACATACTGACAGTGTGTTAAGTCAGCATTACTACTGTGTAAGCAGAATATATATGGACTTTTAGAGAGCATTGGTTACCCTTTCACTTTCTCCTTCCATCTCTCTATTTCTATCACTCGCTCTCTGGCTGTGATAATCAACTCTATGAATATATGAGATACACTACTGTTTAAAAGTTTGGGGTCAGTATGATTTTTCTTTTTGCAAGAAATTAATACTGTTATTTAGCAATGACACATTAAATTGCACAAAAGATAAAAAAATTTTGTGTTCAAATACATGCTGCTCTTTTGAACTACATATTCAGCAATATGAATATATCATATTAAAAATATATAATTCATTCAATGCATCATGGTTTACACAAAAATATTAAGCAGCAGAACTATCAACACTGATAATAATAAGAAATGTTTCTTGAGTACCAAATCAGTATTAGAATGATTCTGAAGGAAATAGTTATTTTAAGTGTGTATTTCACAATATTACTATTTTTACTGTATTTTTAAAATCAAAAAGTCTTTCAAAAACATTCAAAAATCTGAATGCCCCCACCCCCCAAAAAAAGGAATAAAAAAGAAAAGAAAAGCTCTTAAGACCACCGGAAGGCAGGTTTGTTCATGTTTAAACATATAGGTAAAGAGTGAAGCTCCTTTTTAGGATAAAGTGGTACCAAAATTCCATCTTATTGTAGAGTCCAGAACATTCATTATTTTTAAATCTTATATTTAAAATCTATAATGCATGAAGCACCTTTGTCAGGGTGGTAAAGCCAATGAATCATTGACAAACAATCAGTATCATCAAAACTGCATTAGAAGAATGAAATGGCATGAGAGTTGCATGATGGGTAATGAATGCCCAACACACCTCCGGAAGTTTCACTGAGGGAACGTGATTTAGTTTGATCTTCTCTTCTCTCTCCTTTCTTACACTAATTGGAACTCTTTTACTCTCTGCTCATGTATTTCCTGATTCATTTGGACAAAAAAAAGCTAAAGTTCTGGAGGGATGTAAGTCTGGGCACTTTTGCTGTGAAATTTGTTGTGAATTAGCTCCTTTAACTTATGTCGTTTGCTTTCTTCTGTTTGAAGTGTTTATGAGTTTGATATGAATATTAACATATTTAATCCTTTAATAAACATTAAATCACCCAACTATAAAGCTATATGTAAATTATAGCTATGATCTGCCATGAAAACAAGAACTTCCATGACAGTTTGTGTGCATGCTGCATGCTCTTTGGTTGTTTGTCTCTATGGGGTTGGTTACATTGATAAACTAAAGCTGGGCACTTTTATATTTTTAGACAATTTCTTGCAGAATCAGTTTCTGCAAAGGTGGTGTATCTGTGCTGGTTTGTGCCAAGGTGTGTGTGTGTATGTGTGGGAAACAGAGATGCTTGTCTTCACGCTGGTTTCTGTGCTTCAGTACCTCAGCCTCCCACAATAACTCATCAGTCCCCCAAGGATTACATCATCGACCCTCGGGAGAACATCATTATCCACTGCGAGGCGAAAGGAAAGCCTCATCCCAGGTGAGTGTCGCTTTGGATCACCATGGTTACCGCTACTGCAGATTCTGCTGCTGTGGACGGATGCTTGACGCTTAACACCTACCAAACTCTTCCTGAAAATGTGCAAAAGAAAATACTCACCCTCTGTTTATCCATGATGTAGGTGAGTTTATTTCTTCATTGAAACAGATTTGGAGAAGTTTAGCATTATATCACTTGCTCAGCAATGGATCCTCTGCAGTGAATGGGTGCCGTCAGAATGAGACTTCAAACAGCTGATGACTCCACTCCCTCAATTAATATCCTGTGATGTGAAATCTGCATGTTTGTAATAAACAAGTCCATCATGAAGAAGTTTTTAAATGCAAGCCTTAAAATATGAGTTCTCTATCCATAAAATTGCTTTCTCCAGTGAAAAAGTTGTCTCATCTGAATCCAGAGAGAAATATGCACAAGTGAAAACAGTCCAAAACAGTTCTAAACAAATACAGTATGTTGGTGGATTTTGATGTGAGAGGACAACTGGGGATGGACTTTTCACCAGAGGAAGCATTATTATGGATTATGGAGTTGTATTTTGGCCAGAAGGAAAGGTTTTAAGTTAAAATGCCTTAATGATGTATTTATTTCTTAAAAACACGCAGCTTTTCACTTCACAAGACGTTAATTGAATGACTGGAGTGGATTGCTTATGGATTATTGTGATGTTTTTATAAGCTGCAATGCAAAATTTCTGTAATGCTTTGAGTATTGCTAAATGTCTCCAAATGTGAAGAAACAGACTCATCTACATCTTGGATGCCCTGAGAGTCAGTACATTTCTGCAAATTTTCATTTTTGGGTCATTAAAGCATCATAAAATTAGAATAATGTGACTTGTGCAAAGTAATGCAAGTCTTTTGAAGTCATGCAATAATAGCATTATGTGAAGAATATAAGATATAACGGTATTCATTTTGGACTCTTTCTCACACAGCGCTATTGTGAGGCTTCAGATGACTAGAAATATAGTACTTGTAAATCAATTGTAATGTCACTCTGCGTGTATGTTGTCATAATTGATTTTCTATTTTCACTCCTTTCTATCAAGCTTTACATGGACACGTAATGGTATTCATTTCGATGTGGAAAAAGATTCCAAAGTTATCATGAAGCCCAACTCAGGCACTCTGGTCATTGACATTAGTGGAGAGAAGGCAGAGGCGTACGAGGGTGTTTACCAGTGCATCGCCCGCAACGAGCACGGCTCTGCCTTGTCCAATAACATTGTCATCCGTCAGTCAAGTAAGACAGACACATCTAAACAGAAGGAATGTTTTGTTCATATTTTTGCAGTTGCCTCCTGCTTTTTCTTTTTTAAATTGAGAGCCCAATTCTGTTTCATAGGGTCCCCCTTGTGGTCAAAAGAGAAAATTGAACCAATCACAGTGCAGAGGGGTATGTCTCTTGTACTGCAGTGCAGACCCCCAGCTGGCCTGCCTCCTCCAATCATCTTCTGGATGGATAACAGTAAGATATATCACACATATTCACATAGATTTGTGACAGTAACACACCACACACATCAGTCTTGCTTGCACATTCTAGTGTAAGCAGTCACTGAATGTCTCATTTGGTTACGTTTTCATATACTTTACATGGCAACCCAAGTATGTGAAATCGCTGCTCTGTTTTGCAGGTTTAGCTTATTGTTGTTTTATGGTCCTTCTTTTATTGGCAAATAGTGTTCACAATGAACTTATATGCTTCTATCTGCTCTCATACTACTCGATTAAAGGCCAAAAATCGAATAAAAAGCACATACACTGTTTTGTGTCAGATTTCCAGAGACTTCCCCAAAACAGCCGTGTATCCCAGGCTTTAAACGGAGACCTGTATTTCTCCAACGTGCTCATGGATGACAACAGAAACGACTACATCTGCTACGCCCGCTTCCCATACACTCAGACTATCCAACAGAAACAGCCCATCACTGTCAATGTGCTGGACAGTAAGTGTTTTTAGTCTGCTGCTACAAACAGAGTCACCCATTTCTGTTCCATACAATCGTCTGTGTAAATCAGGTTTTTTTTTAAATAGAAGAAACTCTGCTTTTTTATGTTGAATTAAGCTTGCACAATATGTACAGAATCCCATTTTATTCTGTTATTATTAGGGCTGTCAAACTATGATGAAAGTTTAATTGAATTCATTCTACAATATGCCGCCGATTAATTCATTGAATTAATACACCAATAATTGCATATACAGTGGGTACGGAAAGTATTCAGACCCCCTTAAATTTTTCACTCTTTGTTATATTGCAGCCATTTGCTAAAATCATTTAAGTTAATTTTTTTCCTCATTAATGTACACACAGCACCCCATATTGACAGAAAAACACAGAATTGTTGACATTTTTGCAGATTTATTAAAAAAGAAAAACTGAAATATCACATGGTACTAAGTATTCAGATATATATAATTTATTTAATATATCTATATTTGCCCCAAGAAAAGCCCCACAGTGAGATAATTGCTTAATAAGACATTACAAAGCAGTGACTAGAGAAAAAGTGGTATTTCAAATAAAAAAATAATTTTTCCAATGGTAGAAAAATTCCTTATTGCAAAATTTACATACATTTCATGTATTTCATGTATTATTTTTTTCTATTTTTTTTAATAAAAATACAATAATTTGTTAATTTGTAAAAAGAATTATGTTTTTACAGTGTTACATTTTCCCTTTTATTTTTAAATGCCTCTTCAGTTTTTCCTGCTCTGTCCAGACCCGTAAATCTCAAAGCATTGCATGCTGATTATTTTCTGTTGTATTCCAGTTGAAGCTATGAATGACACTGTGTTGGCAGCTTTTTTGAATGGCTCAGATTTTTGGGGTGGTGAGTGCTAGCAGAACTTCTCCAAGTGAACCCAACCTTCATCCCTCCCATCACTTGTGTTTCTGCCTAACCAGGAATAGCTCATTACCTAATATATCACGTATTACCAGAAATATAACCCACTTCTGTAGAATCCCAACCCTGACTCCAAACAACTTGATCTTTATGAAGGTCTTGCGCTGTATTGCACTTGGTATTAACATTCATTTCATCACATCTTTTTAATGAAAACTGATTTAGTCAGATTTAACAAAAGGACTGAAGCCAACACTACAGGAGTTGACTATCATTGGCATTGTGAATGGCAACACAATTTCCAAGATTACTGTATATGAATGGTAATCGGTCCTTTTTATTTGTTTTTAATTGTCTAATTAACATTTCAGCACATCTTACATCTTCTACTGGTCACTAAACTTTCCCTGTTTTAAACTGAATGCATGTATTAGTGTTGATAGTACATTATGTATGCAACACTATATTAAGTACTGTAAAATATCTCACTAAAACATTGTTCATTGCTATTATATTTTTCATTTGGATCCTTCCATTCTCTTTTAAAGGCCATCTAAAAGAAGCAATGAAAGGATAAAATCATTGTCTTTCAGTATGAGGTTCACTTGATAAAAGACATCAGGGCATTTTTAGCAAGTCAGAAGACTTTTCTAAGTTTCAAAATAAATACATTTTCCAGCATTGTCATTTTCCATTTATAGTGTCAAATTTGGCCAGTAATATGCTGTTTGTACACCTCTAGTTTTATCTACCTTGTTCATGTGTGGTTTTACCACCAAAACAGGACATTTTCCCTTCTCCTAAGTCCTGGGCAATAGCTGGCTGGTTACAAGATTTGTCGGCCTGATTGTGGCCTATCTATGTTCTAGACAGTCCTTCTGGGGAGAGAGCGCCCACTTTCATGCAGCCACCAGGAATGCACAGTACCAGCATGGTCCTGAAAGGAGACACGCTGCAGCTGGAATGCATCGCTGATAGCCTGTAAGTAGGAGAAAGTGGAAAAATGGGTCAAAGAATGGCTATGCTAAATCTGTAGCCATGTCCATTTTTTATTCTGATTGGGAAAGGATTTGCATAAACAGTTCAAATATGTTTGACTTTATTGTGTTTTTCAGTCCAACGCCAGATATCTCCTGGAGCAAGGTGAACGGTGACCTGCCAAGCGGCCGTTTTTCATTTCACAGTTTCCAGAAAACTCTGAAGATAACAGAGGTGACAGAAGCAGATGGGGGAGATTACCGCTGTTTAGCCAAGAATCGCCTGGGGAGCAACCATCACATCATCACTGTAGTGGTCAGAGGTCTGTCACAGGACGTCTTTTCATCTGTCACATCTCAAAAATCTTGTGTAGTCTCATCATTCACTAACCCCGGGATGCCATCCTGAACTGTTCATGGACATGATCTGAAAGACCCTTTGTGTTTCCTGTTATTCAGAAAATACCTGCTGGTTTGCCAGATATCTTAAAATGCACGATGGAATAATTCTAATCTGTTGCACAGGAAGATAACATTCTAAATTAAAATTTTGTCCGTTTGATTTTTAAACTCTTTCTTTCCGTTTCCACAGCGGCTCCCTTTTGGATCAGTGCCCCTCAGAACCTCATCCTGGCCCCGAAAGAATCTGGAATGCTCACCTGCCGGGCGGATGGCAACCCTAAACCCACGGTCACATGGTCTGTCAATGGAATTCCCATTGAAAGTATGTAAAGCCGACTTTTTCAAAATAATGTCGCTTTTTCCAGTATATAGCTACTATTTTTTTAAACAAATATTTTTATATTGATATTCAGGATGTGATATTAATCAGTTTGTTTGCATAGTACCTGTAAATAAACTGATTCTATAAAATCATTCACTGAACCTATGTTTGTTTTTATAGCATAATATTTCGTTAAATGTTGCTTTTCACCTGTATAAACTACGTGTTTTTATTTATTTGTCTAGTTTTTTGTTGTTGTATTATTGCTGTTTAAGTTTTATGCTTTCCCTAATTAATTTCATTGTTTTTGTGCCAGTGGGAAATATTGTTCTTATTAAATTATAAATGATATCATCTGATATATTTAAAATTAATAATGTAGTTTGCAAATTTTTGTTAGTAGCTTGTTGCATAGCTAGTTACTTGTTCAGAAGAATAGCTTGATTATAGTTAAATTATGAGTATGATTATGATGTTATTCCTTGATAGACTCACATAAGGACCCCAGTCGGAAAATCGAAAATGGCAATATCATCCTCAGTGATGTTCAGACCGGCTCAAGTGCTGTTTACCAGTGCAACGCCTCCAATGAGTACAGTTACCTGCTGGGCAATGCCTTTGTCAGCGTCCTGGGTATGTTACTTTATAAGCATCTCTATTCTATTCTATTCTATTTTTTAGTTGTTCTGTATGGCAAATTAAATGTATTACATTTCAGCTGAACCTCCAAGGGTGCTGACCCCTCCAAATCATGTGTACTCAGTCATTACTAACAGTAGGGCTTTGTTAGACTGTGCTTCGTTTGGCTCACCACTTCCAAAAGTCACATGGTGAGATTTTTTTTAATTTAAATTTTTCATTTTTTTTAAGTTTGCCTCTAATATCCATCAAAGTGTTTACTGTGAGTTAATGTTGCATGGTGATTATGTTTCTCTGATCTGCAGGTTTAAAGACGGTCAGAGCCTAGTGGATGGGGACTTGTACATCATTCATAAGAACAATACCTTAGAGATCAATGTGGCTCGGCCAGTAAACAGTGGCAAATACACCTGCATTGCCTCAAACAGTCTTGGCAACAAAGAAAATCACATTTACCTGGAAGTGAAAGGTGAGTGAAAACTAAATGTGTTTAGCTGAAATTGGTGTATTTGTAATATGCTAAATGAATGAACAGTAGTATTATTATTATGATGGGAAATATAAGAGAAAAGAGCAAGATTTATGTTGTTTTCTTTCCGCAGAGCCTACACGGATCCTCAGACAGCTTGGGTATAAAGTGGTCCAGAGAAACAGCATGGCTGTGTTTGAGTGCAAGGTCAAACACGACCCCACTCTCCTTCCCTCCATGATATGGCTCAAAGACAATATGGAGCTTCCCGGCGACTCTCGGTATGACCTGCAATCAGTGCTGCAATTGTTGTTCAAATATAAGCACCATCTGAAACGGGTTAGCACCTGAGGCTCTGCGCAAGATACGAGTGAGGGAGATTCATATTTAATGTTATATTTTGTTTATTTTAGAAATAATGAAGTCATTTGCATTTTTGCAGATGCAACAGTTTGGTATTTTTCTTTTTATAGGCATTTTTCCTATTAGAAAAGAAATACACTACTGTAAGTGGTTTGGGGTCAGTAAGATTTTTTCCCGCCTTTTTTACAAAAAAAGAAAGAAATTACTTTTTTTTATTCAACAAGGGAGCATTAAATTGATCAAAAGTGACAGTAAAGACTTTTTCGTTGTTACAAAATATTTATATTTCAAATAATTGCTGTTCCTTTAAATGTTTTATCAAAGAATCCTGAAAACAAATGTACCAGTTTCCATAAAAAAAATATATATAGAAAGAATGTAACATTACAACTGTTTTCAATGTTAATAATAATAATAATAATAATAATAAAATCAGCATATTAGAATGATTTCTGAAGGATCACATGCCACTGAAGACTGGAATAATGGCTTTGCCATCACATGAATAAATTGCATTTTAATTAAAATGTTTAGAATAGAAATTTTTTATTTTATATTAAATATTATTGTTTTAAACAATATTATTGTTTTACAGTATTTTCAAATAAATGCAGCCTTGGTGAGCATAAGAGAGTCATCTTAAAAAATATTGAAAAAACTTACCAACCCCAAAATTTGAACGGTAAAGTATATACAAGAGAAAAAATTTGAAAATTAAAACAATAATAATAATAATTATATCCATTCACAAAAAAAAGTGCTTTTGATCTAAAATTTAACTTTTGAAGTTTGAGAAAAGTAAAAATAATGATGTTTATTTGCACTGAAAGGTGGCCTGTAGCATCTTTTTTTGACTAGCAGGTGTGTGTTTGTGTGTGTAGATTTGAGGTGGGCTCTGATAGTCTGACTATACATGACGTGAGAGAGGACGATGAGGGCAACTACACCTGCATCAGAAACACCACCCTTGACCAAGATTCAGCCAGCGCCATGCTCACAGTAGTCGGTACGCTCAGTTTATACATCACTCTCAACACTCTCACCTGCTTAAATTTTTTCAGAAACTGTACAATATACATTATGGCATCCTAGATTTTTGTCAATACAGATTAGATGGGTGCTGTTGTAGAGTTGATATTGTACTTTTTTGTATAACTAACTTTTGACTTCCTCAAACCTGCTTTCCTTGTCAGAGGCCACACCAACACCACCTATAATAATGGGTAAAATGCACTTCTTTCAGTTCCCAAACAGGTCCCAAAACCATTTGATGCATTTGTATTTTTGCTTTTTTTTGTTTATCCCTCATCACCTTCCTAATATGTGCTTATGAATGTGCTTTTTGGATGTTTCCCATTAATACATAAACTGTTAAAGGCCATTTAGGTTTTTAGTTTTTGCAAATGAGGCAGCTCACTAAACTCTTCCTGACCTCATTTAGAAATAAAGACCTGTGTGGTTTCAGCTTTACCAACAGTCTCTCATTCCAATTTTACATTCTGATGAGTTAGTAGTGAATTCGTACAATCTCATGTTTGTGTTTTCATATGATCTGCTCACACCACACTGAGGCTGGTTTAGGGGTTGACCTTCATGCTTATTTTTTCCTGCAAATTTTGTGTTTTTGTGCAACTCAAATCATACTAATTCAATCTCGTGAAACATTTTCTCATGAAATCGGTTTGGCTGTACCTTTTAGACACTTTAAAATCGTGCCTTTAACAGAATGTCACATTTCAGTCGGTGACATTTTTTTTTTATTTGGTGGTCTTTTTTTTGCCTTGTGTTGCATGTTTTATGTCTATTGTAATTCAGCTGAATCGAGTTTTGTGTCTAATAATACAGTATCTGGTTTTCCAGAGCAACCGGATGCACCGACAGACCTGGAGCTGACAGACCAACGAGAGCACAGTGTTCAGCTTACATGGACCCCTGGTGATGAAAACAATAGTCCTATTCAATGTGAGTTAAAACGTATTAAAAACTCATCTTTGTTTGTTACCTTGTGGTAGATCAATAGGTCATCTACATAATAGGTCAACAGAAACATTTAGGTCTGCTCTTCTGATCCATTTATACCTGGTTACCTCAGTGTTCCTGATCCAGTATGAAGATTCGCTCCACGAGCCTGGAGTATGGGTCAATATGACCGAAGTCTCAGGAACCAGCACCACAGCACACCTGGAGCTTTCCCCGTATGTGTATTACTCCTTCAGGGTCCTGGCACTCAATGAAGTGGGTCTGAGTGAACCCAGCGCTCCATCCAGACAGTACAGGACCAACCCTGCACGTGAGTTACCCTAGCAAGAAAGTAGAATTCTTAAAAATCTTTAAATGCCCTTGTATTTTTATGAATCAGAGTCTGATTGTGATTCTCACAGAGCCTGAAGTGAGTCCATCAGACGTTGAAGTCATTGGAACGTCACCTGACAGTATGACAATAACTTGGAGGGTAAAACACTTTTTTTTTTAGTAGAGTACACTCCTAAAAATAAAGGTTCCAAAAGGGGGGTTTCACAGCAATGCCATTGAAGAACCATTTTTGGGGTCCTTAGAGAACCTTTCAGTGATCAGGTCTTAATCAGATCTGTTTTTTTAGGGTGAAGAATATTTTTTTTTCACTATAAAAACCATTTGTGCATTGGAAAGGTTCCATGGACGTTAAAGGTTCTTCAAAGAACCATAGATGCCGATAACAAACCTTTATTTTTAAGAGTATACCTACTAATTTAGCTGAGTTCCTAGTTTATATGGTTTCCATTTTAATGTCTGGTGACCAGGAGCTGACTGGGCTGGAGTCGAACGGCCCAGGCCTACAGTACAAGGTGAGCTGGAGACAGAAAGATGTGGATCAGCAATGGACGTCACTCACTCTGGCCAATGTCTCGCTATATGTGGTGACAGGAACGCCCACTTTTACGCCCTATGAAGTCACCGTGCAGGCGGTCAATGACTACGGCCCAGGTCCCAGACCAGAGGTACTGCTGGGATATTCAGGAGAGGACTGTGAGTAAGCTGCAGAAAGCACTCAAACTTATTTATATTACTTGCAGTGTATTTATATTATATTATATTATATTATGTTGTGTTTACTCTTTGCCCTACAATTGAAGCTTTTAATCGTAGTAAGAAAAAATATATGATTTTGATAGCTCTTTGATAATTTTTCGATACTGATGTTCCAAAAGACGTTCCAAAACAACTGCTTAAGGACAAACTGTTTAAGAAATTGGTAGATGCGGGTATTTTGCCTAAAGAGTCTGAGGACAGCATTGAGGTTCAGTCTGAAGAGGCATTGGAAACTGCAGCCAAAGATGAGAATCTCAACTCTGACTCTGTTGTGCCTCATGATCCTAGGATTGCCTTAAAATTTAAGGAAATTAATCTTTTGATTAAAAAACAGGAATGTGAGGCAGAAATGATTAGGCTTTGAATAGTAGAGAAACAGGCTGGTCGAGATATCCAATTACATAAAATGGATATGGAAGCAGAGCGGTTGGTTAAAAAGCCAGTTCCACCACTGCGTACTAGGCCCACATTGGTCTCGTCACCCTTAACGACTGCTGGCAGTAGAGCCACAGAAGATTTTGCTTATACACCCTCTAGCGATAGTTTCGATGTCTGTAAGTATATAAGGCTTGTGCCTCTATTTAGAGAGACAGAAGTTGACTCCTACTTTGTTGCATTTGAACGTGCCGCTGGTACTCCAGTATAGCCTTACAGGGAAAGCTCAGGAAGTTTGCTCGGCACTTCCTATAGAACGCTCTTTTCACTATAATTGTTAAATCTGCAGTTTTGCGAGTGTATGAACTTGTCCCTGAGGCCTATAGACAGAAATTCAGCAGTCATTCAAAAACAGTCAACCAAACTTATGTTGAATTTGTGAGAGAGAAGAGGGTTCTTTTTGAAAAGTGGTGTCTGTCTAGCAAGGTTACTACCCTGGAAGACTTGCAGGAATTAATCTTGCTAGAGGACTTCAAAAATTGTGTTCCTGCGAAGATAGTCGTGCTCTTAAATGAACAAAAAGTGATGCCGCTGGCTAATGCTGCAGTTTTGGCAGATGAGTTTGTGCTGACACACAGTCACTGAAAATGTTCATCCGAGATGGTGGACAGATTCCAAGAAATAAAGAATATAGTTCCATTACAAATAATAATAATTTATGTTTTGTATGTCTTTTGTATGTCATCTTAGTACCAACTGTGGCCCCAGAGAACGTAAAAGTTTCTGTTCAGAATGGGACAGTGGCTGAAGTGAGCTGGGACGCAGTTCCTCTTTCAACAGTACAAGGACGACTGAATGGATATAAGGTACTTACTTAACACTGAAAATACATTTACATCTCTAATATTATTCACCAATTACGGAGATCTACCTAAAGATGTTGACATTTGAGCTGCTAGCAGTCTAAGATGTTGGCCATTTTCTAGGTGAGTTACTGGAAGATGAGAAGCCTACACAAGCAAGACCCTGAGCCCGAGAAACCACAGGAGCGCATCTTTCATGGGAATGAGACGAAGGGTCTTCTGTTTGGCCTTCATCCCTACAGCCAGTACACCCTCGACATCAGAGCCTTCAACGGGAAAGGAGACGGACCCACCAGCTCCAATCAGATATTTGAAACACCAGAGGGAGGTATAGTGTGTACTTGCTTACTATATGTACTCACTTGTTAAAGTATGAAATATTATTTAAAGTAGAATAAACTATATACACTTTTTTTAGTTCCTGGGCCTCCTGCAGATTTAAAAGTCCAAAATCTGAACCTGGACTCCTTGGTTGTGAAGTGGGCACCACCTGTAGAATATAACGGTCACTTGACAGGATACTTGCTCAAATACCAGCCTAGTAAGTCTAAATTGGGGCATGTTTTATGGGATTTTGTTGCTGATTTATAAAATGATGCTGATTGCTTAAACTTTTCATCCTCTCTATGTGAACTCTCTTCTTCTTGAAGTCAATACAACAGATGAACTTGGGCCGCTCAAAGAGCTGCTTCTAGCAGCAAACGAGACCAGCATCACTCTGGACAACCTCAAGCACAGCACACACTACAAGTTCTATTTGAACGCCAAGACTATCAAGGGCTCTGGCCCCACTGTCACAGAAGAGGGCGTCACAATCATGGACGAAGGTGAGGACTAGCTTTGTGACTGATTTTACAATATAACGTTTTCAGGATTTGATGCAAGGATCCTGGTGCAGTATTTTATTCTCAAAGGTGGCTTCACATTAACTGCAAGCAGAATAAAACTTGTTCAAGGGTTTGTATTTCAGCTGAGGAATCCCGTCTTCAGTTTCCTCAGTCTTTTCGTTCAATGCTCTACATCTACAATATAATACTTTTAATGCTTTAAGGGTTGCATACTGCATGAATAGTTTGAACACAAACATAACATGCAGTTTGTCTGTTTATTTATATTTGACGATTTTTATACTTTTGTTTATACTTTTATTTTTTTTAAATAATATTTATTTTGTGAGGCAATATTAGTCACTTTTTTAAAGTGCTATTCACTGTGCCATGTTCTTAATCAGTATTTTTGTCTTATTCGAAGCGTACAACTCACAAATATTTGCATTTGTTTTGTATTTGTATTGTATTGAAATGTACCCTCCAACAGCATCATATTTCGTGACTTTACATTTACATTTAGAAACAATCTATTTTGATTGTTAGGTGGCCGCTATTTATATCCCCTCTATCTTTATCTTCTTTTGTCTCTCTTTCTCTCTCTCTCTTTTCAATGAAGCATTAATTCGGCATCCCGCAGTAGAGGCGGGAAAAGGTAACACCAGTATCAGGCTGATGAGAATGCATGCTGGTCGAGCATCAGCTATGTGACTAGAAAGCCACTGTAGCAGTGAAAAGAGATAGATACATATGCATGAACCTCCTCAGGCCAAAAGGCTTTACACCTGACTCAGCTTTCTCCATATGTCATGGAGAGTCATGTTACCAACAAATGCAAATTCCATCCCACTGCTTTCAGTAGGGCTTAGCTAGAACATCTGCTGTTTAAAGGAATAGTTCACCCAAAAATAAATGCTATTGGTTTTAATCTTAGTGCAGCTCTAGCAGTAGAGTGTAAAAGTTGACTCCAAAAATGACAAAAAAGCACCATTACAGTGATTCACATGGCTTGTGCACTATAGTCAAGTCAAGTCTGCTTTATTGTCAATTCTTCCACATGTACAGCACATACACACAGAGAATTGAAATTGCGTTACTCTCAGACCCCTGGGTGCATATGTTACTTTTAAATAAAGATAAAAATTAATTTATAGTTGTTATTCACTTCTAATTTTTCCACATAGTGAACTCGAGAACTGGAACAGTGAATGAATTGCTCTTCTAGATGGGTTCTTTTTAGTGATGACTAAGTTTGCAAATTGGACTAAGCTGAATTGATTCATTCAAATGATTCATGAATTGAACTGAATCTCAGAGTTAACAACTCACTGCATGGGACAATTATCAGGGAATAATGATTCTTTTGTTCACAGTAACGCTACTGTATGATTTGATACTTGAGACTATTAAAGACTATTGAACTACCATGTGAACTTCACTGTACAAAAGCCCTAACTTTAATGCCATGCAACTTGTTGAATTATTCACTCGTAATCTTTCCACTCAGTGAACTCCAGTGAATTCAAGAACTGCTACGACTGAATCATTGAGTCATTGAGTTGAATCGGTTCTTTTCAATGATGTTCAAGTTCATAAATTGTACTAAATGATTTGTTCATGAATTGAGCTGAATTGTGTCATTTACTCAATTGCAGTTGACACTCACTGCAGAGGAATATTATCAGTGAACAATGACTTCAATTTTGGTTTGTTCATCACAGCATCGCTACCGTATCACTTCAGAAGACTTGTTGCACATGAGTCATATGGCCTTCCTTTATTGTTCTTTTTTGTCAGTTTTGGAGGTTAACAACCGTGATTTTGGTGTAAGACTCATGTGAAAATTTTCATAATATAAAATCATTTTCAAATCCAAGTCATACGGGTTTGGAATGACACTAGGGTGAGTAAATGCCAGAAGTTTTAATTTTGGGGTGAACAAACCCTTTAACTAGCGTAGGCAAGGACATTAGATGTTTTTCAGCATGGAGTGATGTTCAAACGTATGACAAGACGAATCCAGATCTCTCTGCCTTGATCTCAGAAGCACAGAGTAACTAGCTCTCATTGCATCGGTGAACTGCATGTTCCTGCATGCTGTTAACTTTGATCTGCATTTCTCTCTTTCACTGCCTTATTTTCTCTCTATCTAATGTTTTGTGTTTCATGTTGTGTGTTTCACTATTCTCTGTATTCTTCCAGGCTCAGCCCCCCCTTCACCACCACCAACCCCCCCTGTCACTCAATCTTTGCAGCCCCCGTTTCACAAGGGTACAAATACACCTGTCCCGGCACCTTTTCTCTCTTTCCTTCATTGTTATGCTTGTGTGATACTGTATTGAACAGGAATTTGTAGATGTTATCCCTTCTAAAATCTCACAAGGTGTCACAATCATTATTTGAGTTTCACACGATTTATAATAAAAAAGTGAGTGATGACAGATACATTTACACTACAGTTCAAAAGTTTGGGGTTAGTCATTTTTCTAAAGAGATTGATACTTTTCTTCATGAAGAATGCTTTAAACTGAGCAAATGTGACAGTAAAGACATTTAAAGACAAAAGTAAAGACAAAAATGCTGTTCTTTTGAACTTTCTATTCATCAAAGAAATCTGAAAAATAAATGCAGCCTTGGTGAACATGTGACTTCCTTCAAAAACATGAAAAAATCTTGCCGAGCCAAAACTTTTCAATGGGGATCTAAGTAATTAAACAAATATATCTCTAGTGACCCCAAAAAGACACTTAAAATTTGTGAATTTCATTGGATTAGATATAAAATATCAAATTAAGATGCATTTGCAAACAAATTATGCTAGATATTTTATTGGAAGTAACTTTTAAACTTTTATAGCTGTTGCGTATGTGTCTATTTATTAAATACTGGGGCCACTAGACATCCAAACATACAGGATTTTTGTAGCAACTTCTTCATAATCTCTACATTTTTACATCACTTGTATTTTTCCTTGTTTGATCAGTGCCGCCTGCTGGTCGGGTGTTTGGGAGTGTAAACTCCTCAGTGGAGGAGGACCATGCTGTGATAAGCTGGGAATACTTGGGGCCGGATAGGAATGTTTATGTGGAATATGTTGTTGATAACAGTAAGATTGTCCTCCTTAAAATTTCACTACTGCTGTGCGTTTATTTAATATAATAAAGTTTAATATCATTAAGTTCATAGACCAAGTTATTTATTATATAGAATTTGTGTAATATCAAAATAAAAATATTTTGATAACGCATTTTATATATATATATATATATATATATATATATATATACATTTTATTTGATTTGATAAATACAATTTGGCTAATCATTAAATAATCAATTTAATAAAATCTATTTTTTTAAATTTTCCTGCGCAATTGGTTTTTACCATAATCTCTCCCTTGCCGTCGGGCCTTCTCTCCAGGTAAAGAACCCTGGAAAACAGAGTTTGTAAATGGCACTCGGACATATCAGATTAGAGGACTAAAGCCCGGGATGTCCTATAGGGTTCGGGTGGTAGCCAAAGACCACTCAGACGCAACGGTCCACAGTACAGAGGAGCTGTTGATTACAGTTCCAGGTGAGGAGAGCATGTCTGCAGACCGCCAGCATCAACCTCACCTGTCACTCACCCGTGAAGCCCCGCCCCTCCTCAGTTCCAGACATTACCTGTAGTTTTGGTTTGGAATATTAACAAATTATGCATGAGTCCAGACGGGTTTATGGAAATGTATATGCATGCCAGAATTACATGTGTCCATTTCTTCCTTACTTTTTTCTTTGACATCCTACAGTGGTCTTCATACATCGTCAGAGAATTTTTAAAAGCACTTCTTTAAATCCATGTTTCTTTTTACCATCATAAAAACAAAAACTTGAGGTTTTTGTTATCTTGATGTTCAGCTCATGTTCATTTCTACTTTACTGTTGATGGCAGTTTTTTGTGTTTGTTTGTTTTATATATGCGAAAAAAGAAAAGTGAGGATTAGTTCATTTTTTCTCTTTTTTGCAGCTATGACTAGCAAGCAGGTTGACATAGCCACACAGGGCTGGTTTATCGGGCTGATGTGTGCCATTGCTTTACTGATCCTGGTGCTCCTCATCGTTTGCTTTATAAAGAGGAACAAAGGAGGCAAATACCCAGGTAAGTGAATGTCCAAAGTTGATGTGAGATGTTTGAAACTGGTAGTTAAGTACATCTGTGTGGTGCTAATGCTGAATCTGAAATCTTTTAAACAGTGCAACAGACCACATAAAATATCTGTATCATAAAATAAGATATATTTAAGATTCTGCACACACATGTGAACTCCTTTGTACGAAAGGCTGAACTTTAATGCCATACAACTTTTTGATTTTCCGATCTTATAGTAAAAGAAAAAGAAGATGCCCATCAAGACCCAGAAATCCAGCCCATGAAAGAGGATGATGGGACATTTGGGGAGTACAGGTGAGGAAAACAACATATGGAACTTAATCTACAGATATTTATATCACTTTGGTCAGAAATCATGAAAAATAAACATTTAAGTTGCACCAATGGTACTTAGAAGTGATGTTGTTGTCGTTTCACAACTCATTGAAGGCAAACTTGCTTCTCCTCTTGCTCAGGGACTCAGACCGTAATTTTTTCATTCCTCTGAGATGAATGTAAACATCTTTGGCCTCACAACAAAACAGCTTGAGGAAAGCAGGAGCAAACCTTTTTATACATTATAACAATTCTTAACCAAAGCTGTGTATTATATGACTGTAAAACTATTTGACACATTTTTAATTCATTTTTTAAATTTTCATTCATTTACCACATTTCGAGTGTCAAATCAGTTGCCTTCCTAATTTATGTTGTTATTGCTGTGATTTGTTATTTTGTTTTGTGACATCATTAATATTTATTGTCATCAATAATATTTATTATCATCAATATATTTTTTAATTTATTGTTTTATATTTGTGTGTATTTTTTGTAATATGTTTGGTAATATTGTCATTATTATTGCTGATGCAATGGAGCAGATATGATTGGAACTGGATGATTGGTCTCAACTCACAATAATTGAAATGAAATCTTATATATAAAATATTAATTCAATTATATTTAATGTACCCTGTAATATTTAAAATTATTAAAATTCAATTTCAGCTTCTGAAAGTGCCAAATCAAAGCCACAGTTGACATCAGCCGTGTTTGTTTTTTTGTTCTGTATTAACATTCCACATGTCCTGTTCATGAAGTCCATCATTTGTTGTGTATGATGTCACTGTATACATTTTTCTTTATTGTAAAGTGATAACCTCATTGTCAAACATGTCAGTCTGTCTTATTTGTTCCTCCTGTGTGTTTTAATTGTGGGGTGAGTTTAGATCTTCAGAAAGGTAAGAGGGGCTTTGCAAGTCTAGCATGGATTAAATCTCCCATTATTCATCTCCTAGTTACAGAAGAAAATCAAACCGATGTCTGTAAATCTCACAGATAAGCCAAACCCAACCTTTACTAAAAATTAAAATCTGAAATAAATAAATTTTACATAGTTATTTGCATTTTTGAGTTTCCTTATTGTGATTTTACTTTGTTTATATTATTTTATATATATATATATATATATATATTATGATGTATGTTACCAAACCTACCCTTCCAAATGCATGTTGTGACCAGTTATGAACATCTACTGCCTTTTGGATATTGGAAAAACGCGTATAAGGACTGTTGGGAAAATACCTGCACTAAACAGCATGTTGGAAATGGACGAACTCCACTATCTAGTTTAGATGGTTTCAATTGTGCTATTGTAATATCCTTCCCCTCCCCCTTGTCTCTACTCTTTACATCAGTGACACAGAGGATCACAAGCCCTTGAAAGGCAGCCGGACCCCATCCAATGGGACGGTCAAGAAGGACGACAGTGACGACAGCCTGGTGGATTATGGCGAGGGAGGAGACGGCCAGTTCAATGAGGACGGCTCGTTCATCGGCCAGTACAGCGGGAAGAAGGAAAAAGACACGGCGGAAGGCAACGAGAGTTCGGAGGCTCCTTCTCCGGTCAACGCCATGAACTCCTTTGTGTAACTGCCTGGAAACGCCTCGTGACCTTTGAACCATCCAACACCCCACCTCCTTGTCTCTATTGCACTGTGACCCCCTGACATCACACAGCAAAAGAAATAAAACAAACGCCCCTAATGAAAGACAGTGAGAAATTATACAAATGCGAGAAGAGGGCCAGTCCAAGCTTCACCGCGATTGGTCGGAATGAAAGTCACATGACATTGAGCATATTACAGCGAGCATATAGGAATATATAAATTGACTTATATTTTATTAACATGGCCCTATTTACCATCAGATGGCATTGTATCACACCATCTTGTCCCTTGGACTGGCATGGAATCAGTTATTGATGTCGCACCCTTGGCGAATCAGCATTAAGGTGCGGTCACATTTACTGTTGTTTGGCAAATTTTCACTGGCAAAATCCAGTCGTTTCAGTAGAAATCGGTGCGATTGGGAGTAAATAAAACAAACGCCCCTAATGAAAGACAGTGAGAAATTATTCAAATGCGAGAAGAGGGCCAGTCCAAGCTTCACCGCGATTGGTCGGAATGAAAGTCACATGACATTGAGCATATTACAGCGAGCATATAGGAATATATAAATTGACTTATATTTTATTAACATGGCCCTATTTACCATCAGATGGCATTGTATCACACCATCTTTTCCCTTGGACTGGCATGGAATCAGTTATTGATGTCGCACCCTTGGCGAATCAGCATTAAGGTGCGGTCACATTTACTGTTGTTTGGCAAATTTTCACTGGCAAAATCCAGTCGTTTCAGTAGAAATCGGTGCGATTGGGAGTTTTTTTGCATTCGGTCGAAAGATTTCCCCACAAAGATTTCGCAACAGGTTCAAGTTTTCACAGATTCACTGCGTCGACCAATAGAAAAAAGTGACGTTTGTGTGAACAGTGCTTCATGCTTTGCTACACAATCGACAATATACAATGGACCTTTATTGCGCACGAATTTTCGCTAATGTGACCGCACCTTTAGCCAGCGTTGTGGAGACCGTGAAGCTTGTCTGACTCTATGATACTCACTTATGCTTCACACCAAATGCCCGTTGCGTTCTGTCGTCAGTGTTCAAATCGGTATTATGCACATTTCAGGCAGCAATGTCTTTGTGGGCATTGTTGTGAAGTATGTAATACGTGTAAAAGCTGTTCTTAGGCGTCAGAAGTTTTGAATATACAAAAAAAAACAACACAGATTTTAAAAACAGGTGGTCAGGGATGTGAGGTGGCATGTTTTTGACACACAAGCACTCTTTTCAGTCACACAGATGTGGTTTTATCCTTATCTCAGTTCTCTTGTGGTTCATTTTGCACCCTGTGTTTGTTTTATTTACGACAACTTTTTCAATGTTTTATCCCTGAGGAAAAGTCATGGATAGACTTAAAAAATTAAGGTCCACTTCATCCAGGACTGTTATTGTGAAGGAAAGCCCCCCAGTCAGCCATGTAGCCACCCGTGACCCCACTTTGGGCACCAGAATTCACGCTGCTCTTGGTGTGGTAGTACAGTATGGGATGCAATGAAGGCCACTCAGCACGGTTCCTTAGTGCCTTGGTAGAAAACATTATTCTATACTCAAAAAAAGATTCCCTCTCATCGCTTTGAGCGCAGCCCTCTTTTATTTCAGTACTGCAAGCGATACCCAAATCCTGAGCCGAGCGAAGACCGCAAGACTCAAGGAAATGATGTCACTTACACAGCCGTCACAGAAGTCACCTCAAATCGGGGTGAGGGGCATCTCATTCCGCTTATCGACAGCTAAAAATTACTGCCACTTCTCTGTAAAGAGTGTACTGCTGTTGATTGGTCTGATTTGACACATTTATGGCAACTCATAACGGAAATGGAAACAACCAACTGTGGTATTTGCCGTAGCCTGTCCTTGGGAAGATCTCAACATATGCGATACCAATAGGCAGAAATATACACATTCTCACATGTAACCGTTTTTTAAATCATGTTACTGCATGTTGTGAAGTATTACGAGCTGTCGAGTGTAGTGAAATCAGGGCTTCACTAAACACACGGCAGTGGTGCTGTCGTCAAATATGGCTGGAGTGTGTGCGGTTTATGCAGGCATGCATGAAAATATTTGTGTGTATGGAATGAATGTGTGTGATGGCTATGAATGTGTGTTTGAGTATATGTCTGTCCACTGTATATATTGGGGCGAGCCTTTTTTTGGCAAGGCCCTAGATTTTCATGATTTAGCTTGTCATAACTTGCATCAAGTTTTTTAGTTTGGAATTGTCTGCTTTTTAATGTATAGATCTGACATTGGCTTTGTATATGTCCAGCCAAAATTATTTTAGACACATGAAAGGATGCCGGGGCGGTCTGTGAATGGAAAAGCTGCTGAGATATCCAATCACAACTGAGCCCTTGAGCATGACAGTATATCCCAAGGCGCTCTAGGGGAACTGTCCCAGCAATTTGTGTACTGTAAGTCACTTTGGATGAAAACAAAAAAGCCCACTTGAAAAATGACGACAACCTATTTCCTGAACCCCATGAGTCTGAAAAACAAATCAACGGATGATTATGTGTTAGGTAGCGCTGCAGAAAACCGCACAGTGTTCCACCTGAATTCACACACACATCAGCTCTTACTCTTTTAACGGCACTGTTGTTTTCTTTTCTGTTTGACCAGGAAGTTTATGACTTTTTTTCTGTAGGAAAAATAAGAAAATGGACGCATCCCCAAAGAAGGAGGCCGGATTGCACTGGTGTGGGTGCAGAACATTTGGATGTGTTTTTGTCGGAGGGGGCAAAGACGATTGAAACGATAGTGTGAAATAATATTCTGGTTAATGTTAAAGCTACATGAAAATAAAGCATGAAAGGCTGTGAAATGGTTTACTCTATAATATAAATCGCAAAAAAATATTTTGTATATAAAAGAATTAAAATAAATGTTGGTTTCCGGATTTAACTACCATCTGTCTGTTTTTGTTTAAAAGATCAATTATATTAATCAAAGAACATTAATTCTGTTAAATTAAAGAAAACATAATTTTTTTGTATATTCAAGCGACTTTTAAAGTCAAAGCTAAATTCTTATCTATTTATATATTTATTTAATTTTTAGAATTTAAATAATACCAAACCTCATTGCTGGTTTATTATTTATTTATTTATTATTACTGTTAATAATGTGCAGCAAAATGTGGCTAGTGCAACTAATTAATGTTCATATTTTGATTTAAAATGGAAATTCATCTACAATGACAACTTGACAGTTTCCTCTATGTTAGGGCAAGTTCATTTCTTTTTATTGGTTTACTTATTTATTATTAAGGGGGAAAAAAATCATATTTCTATAGCCCTGAGATATAGCAGATAATCCTGCAATATATAATTAGGTATATTAGTTTTAATTTGTGGATTATTTTCCCTAGAGAACAATTTAAGCAAACAGTAGCTCATTTTACCTCACTGTCCCATAAATGTTATAATGCAAGTGCAGTTTAATGCATTATATCCTGTGTGGCTGCCCTGAAGAGTAAAGCGGTCTTAAGCCTTTACCCACAGTCATTTGGCCTCTTTATCCGATTGGACTGATTTACTTGGATTGGAATTTGGAGAGTCTCAAATGAAAAATACGAATTTAATCCACTGGATTTGAACAGATGTGTGTGGATAAGCCTCCTGTTACCTTAAATCACCAAATATCACGTGCTGGTCCATATACATTTTGAATTCAGAATTCATAAATGCCTTAAAATCACATCGACTAGTTTGAGATCCACTGCAGTAGCACATGAACTCAGACAGCATCCCTCTGTGTTACGGCATCCTGGCATGCGCAGCTTCCGCTCTCATCCAATAGCAGGCTGGTGCCGCGCCGGCCGTGTGTCTGTCTCCGCGCTGGGCTGCGGGACGACGCGGTGGTTCTGATCCAGGTCTGTGGGTTTGACGAAGGATTAAACGCATTCTTCCGGTAAGCTTGCTGCTGATATGGTGATATGTAAAGCTTTGGGGGTTTCTGGTGAGAATATGATCTGTCTATGACCTTCAGGAGTTTATTCTGCATGCTAAAGTCCGGATGAAGGTGTTCCGCGCGGTTCGGGAATACCGCAATGCAGAAGAACAGGGTGGATGAGTCCGGACATACCAGATGTCATTCCTTTATATATAAAATAATAATACATAAAATAAATAAACAACATACATATTAGAATTATTAGTGCTTGAAAATACACTTTATATGTTATGATCACACCAAGCTCTAATTATAATAGCCTATTTAAAAAAGATGAGGGAAAAGGACAGTGAAATCCAGCTATGATTTTTATTGCTCTGTTAAATTCAAATGTAAATCCATGTATTTCAGTGTGTAAGATCATTTAGATCAGATGCTAGATTGTTACTGCCACGCCCTTAGTATGAACTTACAGTAGGCATGCAGTGACCTAAATCTGAATGTGCAGGACAAGAGCAGACAGAGGATGCAATGAGAATATAAGAGATTGGTGAAAATGCTGTGCATTCAAGTAGACCACATGCATAACTTGCTGCTGCAAATACAATTGTTTAGAGAGATGGGTGGTCAAACATGTTCTTGAGATGCTTGATGAATGGATACATATTAGGTTGCAGATGTTCATCCTCTGTCCTTGCTCACCCTGTATGAAAGTGCAGTGGCAGCAAATAAGAGATGCTGAATGTGTTAGCAAGGATTGCATTTATAAAGCAACTCTGTGAGTATGTGTGCATGCGTTTATGCTAAGATTTACCTTTCCTTTATGTGTTACATTTGCAGTAATGGCTGAACTTGTGGGTGTAAACATGTTTGTGTGCATATGTGCATAGTCTGTGTGAGTGAGAGAGAAGGTGTGGATTGCTGATTCACTTTTAACATTGGTAGGATTTCGGACACAATCTGCTGCAGTCTGCACATCAGAGTGAGACAATGCAGCTTTCAGTAGCTTCAACTCTGCAGCTTTACAGCATTTCACCCACACACACATGTTCTTTCACTTTTTCTCTTTCTCAGGCTTGGTTTTTAACTGTCAGATCAAGATGGTGACCCCAGCCATGCTTCTGTGTGTTCTCTCTTACTTCTTCTTATTGGCCGGTGAGGAACTGAATGTGTGTGTGTGTGTGTGTGTGTTTATTTAACTACATTTAAAGTATAGCTGAATTTCTTTTTTTTCAGGAGTGTCTTCAAGGGTAGAAAATGATATTAAATGGAGTAGATAAAGTTTTTTTAAACTCTAAAATACTCCCACATACCAATTTGGGTGCAGCCAATGGTCCCCATAATAAACATACAAAATTATGTTTAAAGGAATAGTTCATCCCAAAACGAAAATTTGATGAAAATGTACTCTCCCTCAGGCCATCCAAGATGTAGATGAGTTTGTTTCTTCATTGAAAGATTTGGAGAAATAAAGCATTATATTACTTGCTGAGCAGTGGATCCTCT